TTAAGGGAGTGGATGGAGGGGGAGAATGGAAAAGTGAGGAAGGGATTTTAATGCGAGGACAGGGGAAAAGGGTGGAAAAATGAGGGGGAAGGGAAGGAGGACAAGGATGGGAGTAGGAGATTGAAGGATAAGAAAGTGAACGCAGAGGGAAGATTATTGCTGGAGAGGATTGAGGAACTGGGATGGGTAATATGGAACGGAGGCACAAAAGGAGATGAGGAGGGGGAATGGACATACACGAGTGGAAGAGGGGAGTCAGTGATTGATTATGTGTTAGGAGAAGTAAGCGCAAAGGAATATGTGGAGAAAATGGAAATAGGGGATCAAGTGGATTCGGATCACCATCCGGTAGTGATCTGGATCAGAAGTGGAAAAAGGGTGAGGACCGGGAACAGGGAAGGGGATAGGGGGAAGGATGAAATAAAAAGGATAATATGGTCGGAGGAAAGGGGAAGAAAATGGGTGGAGGAGATGCAGAAGGAGATGAGGGATGAGAAAAGGGGGGTTGAAGAGAAATGGGAGATTATGAAAAAGAGAGTAAGAACGGTGTTGGGAGAAAAGGAGATAAGGAAAGTGGGGAGTGGGAGAAGGGGGTGGTGGGATGAAGAGTGTAAGGAAACAAAGAGGAATGTAAGAAAGGTGTTAAGAAGGTGGAGAGAGGGTAGGGGGTGTAAGGAGGAGTATAAGGAAATAAAAAATGAATACAAGGCGTTGTGTAATAAGAAAAGGGAGGAAGAAAACAGAACTTGGGAGGAGGTGGTAAAAAAAGCAAAAACGGTGGGGCAGGTGTGGAAAGTGGTGAATAGGGAGAGAAGAAGAAAGAGAGGAGAGGGTAGTGGGATAGGGATAAGAGAGTGGGAAAATTATTTCAAGAAGCAGTTGGGGGGGTGGATTGGAAAGTGGTGAGAGAGGAAAAGGGAAAGAGGGAGGAGGGGGAAGAGGATATAGGAAAGGAGGAAATTATAAGGGCGATTGGAAAATTGGGGATAGGAAAGGCGCCGGGGGGGGGGATGGCATACCAGCAGAGGTATGGAAGTTTGGAGGAAGAAATATACAGGATTGGGTGTGGAATATATGTAGGAGGATCTGGGCAGGGGAGGGGTGGATCGATGAGTGAAATGAGGGAATAGTGGTGCCGGTACTGAAAAAAGGAGAGGGAAATAAGATGGAGGAGTATAGGGGTGTGACATTGGCCGGATCATTGTATAAAGTGTATGCGGAGTTGTTAGCAGAAAAGTTAAGGGGGGAGGTGGAGGGAAAGAAGCTAGTTCCGGAGAGTCAGGCGGGGTTCAGGAAAGGAAGGGGTACGATGGATAACATCTACGTAATAAATTACCTGGTTAGCAGAAATTTAAGTAGGAAGGGAGGTGGGTTGATCGCGTTATTTATAGATTTGAGGGCGGCTTTTGACACGGTCAATAGGGAGACTTTACTAAGTGCGATGAGGGAGAGAGGGGTGAGAGAGGGTTTAGTGGGAAGGTGTGGAGACTTATATAGGGAGACGAGGAATAGGGTGGCGGCAGGGGGGGAGGTGGGTAATGAATTTTGGACAGGTAGGGGGGTGAGACAGGGATGCCCGTTGAGCTCATATCTGTTCAATTTGTTGACAGCGGATATGGAGGACTATTTGGGTAGGAACGGATGGAGTGGGGTGAAGGTTGAAGGAAGAAGGGTTTATGTATTGGCGTATGCGGATGATTTGGTGTTGTTAGCGGAGGAGGAGGAAGGGATGAGGGGAATGATGAGAGGGATGGAAAAATATCTGGCGGGAAAGGGTTTGGAAGTGAACGTAAATAAATCAAAAGTGATGAGATTTAGGAGGGGAGGGAGGAGGGAAAAAAAGCTGGAATGGTGGTGGAAGGAGGAGAGATTGGAGGAGGTAAGAGAATTTAAATATTTGGGGTATGTGTTCCAGAGGAACGGAGGGAGGGAGACGCAGTTAAAAGAGAGAGTAAGAAAAGGGGCGGCTGTAATGAGTCAGGTGTGGGGGATAGGGAAGAGGAGGTTCGGTGGGAATTGGGGTAGAAGGTTATGGCTGTTTGACGTATTGGTCTGGTCAATGGTTGGATACGGGGTGGAGATATGGGGATGGAGGGAATGGGATAGCTTGGAGAGGTTGCAAAATAGATATATAAGATGGTTATTGGGAATAGATTGGAGGACCCCGGGATATATCGTAAGGGAAGAAATGCAGAGGGACTTATTAAGGGGAAGGGCAGGGCAAAGGGCCTGGAGATTTGAGGAAAGGTTGGAAAGAGAAGAGGGTAGCGAAATAGCGAGGCTATGCTTAAAGGAGATTAGAGGCAGAGAGGGGAGGGGGGACGGGTTGTCTGAGTGGGAGAATGACAGGTTAAAATATTATGAGGAGAGGGGAGTGAGGATAGCGGAGATGGAGGAAAGTAGAGTGGCAGGAGAATGGAGAGCTCAGCGGTTGATAGAGAAGGAGAGGAGGATGCAGAGTAAAGAGAGATGGAAAAGAATTGAAAGTTCGAGGTACAATAGATGGTACAGGAGGATTAAGAAGGAAGGAGTGCCATGGTATTTAAAAAAGGAATGGGGAGAAAGCAGATGTCAGAGTGGCTAGGTTTTGGTTGGGGAACGAGATGAAAGAAGGTAGATACTGGGAAGGGGAGAGGGAAAGGGTGTGTAGAATGTGTGGATTAGTGGAGGAGGGTTGGAGACATGTGTGAGAGGATTGTAGGGTATGGGGGGCGGAAGGGAATTGGGAGGATATGATTGAAGTGGCGCTGGGAGAGGAGGGGGAGGGTAAAGGATGGTTAAGGAGGCTGGAGGAATATAGGGGAACGGAAAAACAGGTAGGACGGGAGGTGGGGGAGGAGTGAGTAGAAAGGGAGGGATGAAAGTTGAGTGAGTGAGAGCTGAGTAAATGGATGTGTGGAAAGAAGTGTGTAACTGTATGTATGTATGAAGTGAAGAGAGTATGGGAACCAATGGCGGAGTAGCTGGATAGAGTTGACTGCCGGAAAGGGAGGTCCGCTTTGCGTAGAGTAGAGTAAAAGCGATTGCGTGTGTGTGTATATAGTATAGTATTTTAGTTTTTTTTTATAAGTTAGTTTTTTAAGTTAGTGGTAAGGTTAGTTGTAAGAGTAGATGTAAGAAGATTTTTGTATAAGGTTTTGTAACCCTAAGGAGAATCAATAAATACAATCTAATCTAATTTATTTAAACTATATATCTAATTAGAATATATCTAATTAGTATTTATATATAGTTATATATATATTTTTATTGGTAAATATACAGAAATGGGGAGCCCCCTCCGATCGGCTTCTCGTTCGCACATATTATTAAGATTACCTTCCTGAGTAACAATATGAAGATTTTAGCCGTCGCTCATTGTTTATAAAAAAGTTATGAACAAAAAAAGTTTCATGAATAAACTATCGTTTTTCGACACCGTGTACATTTCAGAAAGAAATGAGTAATGTTTATGTTGCCAGCAATGTGTGTATATGTAGCATACCCCGAAAGTTTCTGTTTTGGTTTGATTTCTTTGTTCGTAATTGCCTTTTTGCTTAATGTGTAATTTTGATACTAGAATTGATGTCTTTTTCAACATAATGAGTGCAATGTATCCACTACATTAAATGTAAGATGTATTTATGTAAAAATTAATATGTGTTACATACAAACATATTTATGGGTTGAATCGCTATACGATTTGTTTTCATTTCTTTGTTGTAAGTATGTGGGCAGGGGGAGGCTGCGCCTCCCAGCAGGTGGAGGGGCTTTGCCCCTCTCCTCTGCTCCCCCCTCGAAAAAAAAATAGAAAACGACTTCTGATTACAGCTTCATGTCGATAGTATGTACGTGATTTTTAACGACACTTAATCAGAAGTCGTTTTCTATTTTTTTTCGAGGGGGGAGCAGGGAGGAGGGGCAAAGCCTTTTAACACACAAAAATGTACATTGTTGTCGGGAAGAAAAATTTATTTATGCAACTTTTTTTGATTATAACTTTCTTATAAACAATGAGCGACGGCTAAAACTTTTAGAAACGTACTCAGAGAGGTCATATTTACAATATATTTGAACGAGTAGCCGATTGAAGGGGGCTCACCTATTCTGTATATTTACCTTTTTATTACTCTGCTCTGCCGTTTTTTCCTTTAGAACCTAAAACTATCCAGATCTTCTACCGTCGGTAAATCGGTACTTACTTTAAAATCTGTGCTTCGAGAGTCAAAGTTCAAGAGTAAAGTTACAAGTATCACCATTTTGTTTTAACTAACATCATCAAAAAACTACTCTTCCGAGCGAGTTACCATTACTTATGAGTTACCACCGTAACCCTTACGCCAACGTCGACAAGTTATCACCCTTAAGTCGCAACAACATAGCATCACAGTTAGTTGCAAAATTAATTAGAAAGTTCGCTCGTGAAAATTTCAATATACAGTGCTCCCTCTCTTATTTGTCACTCTGTAATTAATAGCTTCTCCTTATTTAGAGGAGAAGTTGTTCTCCCACTTTTGCTTAGCATTGACTTGGTGGGATATACGTATAGTGGTGATTGCCTTAGCGTCCGTCATCCCCACCAATTCATCTATCTCGCTCGCACTCATTTCTTTTTTCTCGCTCAGTTGAATTTGCTCATAAGCGTCCGGGCACTTTCTTTCTTTGAATAGAATGGAGAGAGAAGTAGAGAAGGAAAGAAAAGAAATACGGATGTCTTATTGGTCTTCACTCTACGTAAGGAGGGAAAGTGCCCGGCAACGACACCACTGTTGCGCGCATATAATGCGCGCATGCATGCAACTTTATAACCTTAAAAAATCGTTGAACTGTGATTTTATGTATTTAGTAAAGGTATGTGATAATTCTGTAATTATTATAGAGTGTACATGTTAGAATAATACGTTATAATTGTATGTCGTAATTATAGGATCTAACTAAAGTGTCTGTAGTTACATACAATGAGTGATTATATTAAAAAAAGAAAATATACGTCGCATCCTTTACATGTGAAATTGAAAGCTATGAAAGAGCTTGAAAATGGTGTGCCAGCTTCAGTAATTGCAAACACACTCAACGTAAATTTATTGACTATTAAAAGTTGGGAAAAAAATAAAGATAAATTAATTCAGTGGCAGGATGAACACGATGATGCAATATTAAAAACTAATAAGCGTATGCGAAAGATTAACAATGATCTTGTTGACAAGGCAACTTGGATCTGGTTCAAAGAAAAGCAAGCGGCTGGTATTCCAGTGCAAGGAGTGCATCTTCAAATTCAAGCTCAATATTTCCATACAGTCTTGAAAGGACAGGGCCAGTTTAACGCTAGTAATGGATGGTTGCATAAATGGCAGATTCGTCACAACATTCGTAGTGTTACGATTTGTGGCGAGAAATTATCCGCAGACAAAAATGCAGCTGAGAATTTCAAGGTGGAATTTTCACAGTATATTAATGAACAAGACTTATCACTTGATCAGATATTTAATTGTGACGAAACTGGTCTCAATTATAAGTTGCTACCTAAAACTACTCTCTCTTCAACATCTGAAACTAGTGCATCTGGTTTTAAGGGCAAAAAAGAGAGAATTACTGTAATGGCGTGCAGCAATGCCTCTGGATCTTTGAAGCTACCGCTCGTAGTAATCGGTAAATATGCAAAGCCGAGAGCAATAAAACATCTAACATCACTTTCAGTTTATTATAAGAATCAAAAAAGTGCGTGGATGAATAAAGAGATTTTCACCGAATGGTTCCAATGTGAATTCGTTCCACGAGTTACTGAGTTTTTAAAAATCAAAGGTCTTCCGCTGAAAGCTGTTCTGTATGTCGATAATTGTACTGCTCATCCAAACATTCTATCAAAAGATAATATTATCTCTCGATTTTTTCCACCTAACACAACTTCTTTAATCCAACCGATGGATCAGAGTTGTCTCCAATGTTTGAAGCTACAATATCGTCAAAAGCTAATGACATATATTATAGATTGTGTGAACCGTGGAGAAACTCTTCAAAATAGTTTGAAGAAAATTACAATTAAAGAAGTTATCTTTTGGGCATCGAGTGCGTGGGAACATGTATCACCTGTAACAATTCGGAAGTCATGGAATAAGGTATATTTATAAAATAATGTATATTTAATCTTATTATATATATATTTAATTTATATTTAATCTTATTATACAGGGTGTCTGACAACGAACTATAAAGCCGCCGTGTGTAGGTAGATCGGGTCATTCTGAACAGAAAAGTTATTTACCATTTTGCAAAATTGGCAATATTTATTGAGATATGAATTATTAAATGTAAGCCAATAAGGGCGCGGGGAGCGATGAT